CACCTCAGCCTTTTCCTTGGCCTTGGTGACAATGTTCCCTCCGGCATCCAACAAGGGATGGAGTTTCTCCAAAGCTCTCCTTTTGTTGTTAATGTATTTGTAAAAACATTTTTTATTATCTCTTACCACTGCAGCCACGTTGAGTTCTAGTTGGGCTTTTGCCTTCCTAATTTTAACTCTGCATGACCTGGCAAGATCCCTGTACTCTTTTTGGGTTGCCTGACCCTTCTTCCAGAGATTTCCTTTCTCCTTTTGAGCTGGAGGTAGGGTTTGACATGCTCTGTCTCCTGCTGAGTTGCTGGCATTTCCCATCCCTCTACCCTTATGAACCTCCCTGGAGTCTGCCTGTTCCAGGGCTCAGTCAGGAGGCAGTGAGGCTTTGGATGCTGGGGACTAGCACATTCCAGCCTCCTCTCCAGACCTTGGGGCTCTCGTAGTCCACTGCTCTCAAGATCTCTCTTGGCTTTTGAGGCTCAGTGTTTGAAGATAATAAGTGCATAGGCTGAGTAGCAGAGTGCTCAAGCCTAGGAAGCCTCTGTCTGCCATCTCAGTGGAAACTTTCCTCTTTGTGCTCCTTCACCTTCCTGGAGAAGAGAAGACTCAGGCAGGATCTAGTCTACGTGTGTAAATACCCAATGAGAGAGAATGAAGATGAGTGAGTGAGCTAAGCTCTTCTCAGTGGTTCCCAGTGGCAGAACAAGAGGCAATGGCCACAAATTAAAACCAAGAAACTCCCTCTAAACACAGGAAAATACTTTTTTTTTTTTTTTTTTTTTGGATGTTGAGGGTGGTCAAAGACTGAACAGATTACCCAGAGAGGTTGTGAGATCTCCTTCTGTGGAGATATTCAAAGCCTGATTGAACATGGCCCTTGACAACCCTCTTATAGCTTACCCTGCTTGAGCAGGGTGTGTTGGACCAGACAACCTCCACAGGTCACTTCTAACCTCAACCATTCTGTGATTCCCTGTCTGCTTCTGTACTGCACTATGTTGGGCACTTATTTTCTGAGCTCCTTCTGGATTTTGTTGTCCCAGAGCATGGTAGATGTGCTACAAGATGGCAAAGCACAAAGTGCTGTACAGTGCAGTGCAGCATGAGGGGTTTGTGTCTGCCAGCCTTGGGTTTGGCCCTGCTGCTTTGTATGTACTCAGAGCTGCTTTCTCAGCCTACTGGCAGTACAAGTTTTGACTGTTTCTGTTGTGCTCCCTCCATAGACACCTCCTTCATGTACATGATCGCAGGACTGTGCATGCTCAAGCTCTACCAGACCCGCCACCCAGACATCAATGCCAGCGCCTACTCTGCCTATGCCTCATTTGCTGTGGTGATCTGTCTGGCCGTCCTCGGAGTGGTATGGCTCCTTCTTACCTACCTGCTTCTCTGGGAAGGAGGTGGTGTGGCTGGGAACATAGCTTAAGTGTGCAAATGACTGGGGAGAGCAGCAGGGTAGGATAAGGGTTTGAATTCCCAGTACTTTTGAGTTTTCTTCCTTCCTTCCCCTGGGCTTGCAAGGAGGGGAAGAGCAGACCAGTTTTCTCTAGGTGGGCTCCTTTTTGGGCTTTGCCCACCACATGCCCTGAAGAGGAGAAATTCATGCATCCAGGCGTCAGTGACCAAGCATGCAGCTGGTCTCCTTGTGGAATGGCCCACCTTGAAGTAGGGGGGTGAGGCTGGCTGAGCTTCCAGGACTGGTGTTCTCTGCCTAATTGCTTCTGCCTATTTCTACCCTTTGGAAAATTGCTGGGCACAGCCCTGGTGAGTTGTCCTTGCTGTCTTTGGAGAGGTGGATGTCTAGAATAATGGCAGAGGGCTCCCGAGCAGGTTTCTGGAGGGCACCAGAGCAGAAGGAATCACAAGAGGGTTGCTCTTGTGCAGCAGGAGTCACTGAGAGGTCAGGCTGGTACAGAGGGCTTTGCCTGTTTGCTCACATCATTGCAGGTATTGAGCTGGGCTTGCCTGAATCCCCAGCCTGTGCTTTACCTTGGAGCTCTCTGCATCTCTTTGTTGTGGAGGACTTGGTTTCATTTGGCAATAACCAGGCAAAGTCCACTGAATTCTTGCTCTGAACTAGCACCTGGATCCAGTAGGCTGTGAGCCCCTCACTACCTGACATAATACAGAACAACAGTTGATTCTCTGAAGGTCTCAGGTTGGAAGCTTTGGGGGTTTCTCTTCCATGTTCAGTGAGGTTGTCTAATGGCCCATGGTGAAAATAGGAGAGAAAAGGATCAACCTGCTGATAACAGGGCTGAGTTTGCTTTTAATCTGTCTGCTTTCAGGTGTTTGGGAAAAATGACATGTGGTTTTGGGTCATTTTCTCCATGATCCATGTCTTGGCCTCGCTGGCTCTCAGCACCCAGATCTACTACATGGGCCGCTTCAAGATCGGTAAGTGCTGTGACAGAACTATCTTGTTTCGGGGGTGTGCAGGTGCCTCCTGTCCTCACCTGTGTGGGTTGCCTATGCAGTACCTCTGTGAGCATGGTCCCATGGTCTGTGCTTGTGTTCTGGGTTATCTGGTTCTCTCATCCATCTGATGCTCTTCCTGGCCTCTGAAGTCCTTGTGCTGCTCCTTCCCAGACCCATGGGAGTCAGCAGGACCTGTCTGCTCTGTGCCTGCAGAAGAGCTGGGCTCTGAGGGAGCCTGTCCTTCAGCTACAGCTCTCCCTTTTGAGAGACCTCAGAGCAGTGAGCTACATAAAACCCCATCATGGAGTGAGGGGGGAGAGAGTCTCTTGGGGAATCTTGCTCTTGTGCTCTGCTTACAAACATATTTCTTCTTCCTCTTCTGCTCCTATCTGCCTCAGATGGCCCTGACTCAGGTAACTGTCAGCAGCTCTCCTTTTGCTCTGTTGAACTGATTGTGCAGCGGCGTAGCAGTCAGGGATGCATGGATGTGTGTGGCGAGGCAGGATGAGGCCACCTTGGGTTGGCTCTTGAGAAGTGAAGTCAGTTTGTTAGCAGCACTGCCAGTCCTGCTCCTTGGCAGGAAGGGGGTGGTACAGCACAGGAGAGCTCTGATCTTGGTGCAGGAGCCTTTTTACGCTTCACATTTTTGCTGAAGCAGGGTGTGCGTGTGCATGCATGTCTGTCCATCCCCACTGCCACTGATGGCTCTCCAGTGAAGCTTCTACAATCGTTTTGAGAGCAGAGGTGTCTTGAGTGCGCTCTGCCCCTCTAGGTTCCTCTAAGGGCTGAGGGATGAGTTTCTGCTGTTTACCTGCTCTGGCAGCTTGTTATGTGGAAGGTGCTTTTCCCCTTCCTGCACACACATCTCTCTCTCCTCCAGAGATGTGGTTGCAAAGCCAGCCTGTTTATGTGTATAGTCAGGGTCTATTTGACTTCTGGGCAGTACCAGAGGCAAGGGGATAATTTTTTTTTTTTAACCTGTCACTCTGGCCAACTGCCATCCACATCCTGTGGCGGCTGCCCCTTTGCTCAGCACAGGCTGCTCCCAAAGGGCAGAAATGGCAGGCTGGGTCCTCTGTTGTCAGCTGGTGTGTGTCTTCATCTTTCCCCTGTAGGCATTTTGGCACTCACTCTTCTGGCTCTTTTGGCTTTTTATCCTCTTCTTTGACAGACTTGGGGATATTTCGACGGGCAGCGATGGTGCTGTACACGGACTGCATCCAGCAGTGCAGCCGACCAATGTACATGGTAGGTGATGTCTCATCTGAGCATCTCCCTCAGCAATTGCTCACTTTCTAGGCAATGTGTAGAGGGAAGAGTTGTGGCTATTTGAAAAAGTGATGCTCCCTGCTTCCCTTCTTCCCCTTCCTCAAAATGTTTGGGTAAGAGGAGATGTCTGCTGGAGCAGTTTGCCCCCTACTCTCAGGCCTCCCCTGTTCTAAGGCTTGGTGAATAAAACATCAGAGCAAAGGTGAGACAAGCATGATAGGATTTGCCTTTGCTCTTGCTCTCTGGGGGATCTGTTCAAGGAATGAGTAGGAGGCTCTGTGTAGCGCAGCCTTTCTGGGGGAAAAAGCTACTCTTTTGGCTCTGTGGCTTAAGCAACAGCTATTGCTATTTCTACAGCACCTCAGGGCAGACAGCAAAAAAGTAAGAAATGATGGCTGTTACATTGTGTCCCGCTAATTACTTTATGGCACGGAGTGCTAATTAGGGCTTGAAGAAAAATTAAGTTTTTATCCATAAGCATCCTTTCTGTTATTATTTTTTATGCATTTACCCATCTCTGAATAAGTGTCAGATTGAGTTTTGCAAGCAAACTCTGTGCACTCAGACATAAAGTAAGCCTCGCTGGCCTGAAGTAGCTGCATCATGAAAGCATCTGTAGACATAAATGCACATGCCCCACAGATGTAACCCTTCTGCCTGCTGTAGTTACAGTGCTTCCCTAGTTAATGGCAAGATGGGTGAAAAAAGGGCTCTGGATATGTGCAGGACGCTATTCAAAGCTTCCCCTACTGCCTCTTTCAAGCACATCCTTACTCTGTGCAATATTTTTTTCAGTAAAATGCTGGGAGGGAAGGAATCTAACTAGAAAAACAGCTGACCCAGTCAAAGGATTTGTGGAACATCCTGAGGATGATCCTTAAGTGCTGAGCTTGTCCTTTTTTAGATTTTCAGTCTCCTTTTTGCAACACTTTCTGCAAATTTGTGAGGGCCAGAGCAGTTTCCATCTGGCAAAAGTTCCCACGGAGCAAACTTCAGAGCCAGGTGCACGTGTGTTTGTAGGAACCAGACTCCAAGTCCTCACATAATGATATTCTGGATTTCTGAGGCAAGTGCCTCTTCTTGCATTTCCTTCTGCTTTCATATGATCATCAGTGTCTTCTCTTCAGGACAGGATGGTGCTGCTCATTGTTGGAAACCTGGTCAACTGGTCCTTGTAAGTAGTGGGGTGTGGGTGTCTTGGGTACTAGTGCACGTGGGGGGCGGCAGGATTCAGTATTGACACACAGGTGGTCTGAAACAATGGGGGAAATGCAGCAGTGTCTCTGTGATAGGCCTGTGCTGGGGCCTCTCTGACATGTTTTGTCAAGGAGCTGGATCTGATGAGTCCTGGATGGTAGGCAGGTCCATAGGATGCAGTACAGCACTACAGAGCTATGTGAGGCATCCCTGAGCGTTCCAGCTGCTGCTGTCTCATAGCTTGTGCCTGAGAGAGCTTGTGTAGGGCTGGCCTGGTACAGTGGGGCTGTGCTGTGCTGGATACATGCTTGACACATAGCTGAGAGGTCTCTGGCACAGCCAAGGTCCAGAAGAGTTGGCAGATGCTCGTTAGTGACAGTCACAGAGCCTGGCTCAGCAGCAACTGCATGGCTCTTGGATGAGATCTAAAATCATTGCCCCAAGTTCTTGCTTTTCACTAAAGCTGCTTTTCAAGGACATGCCTTCTGCTAAACATACAGGTCTGGGGCCAACTCCTACCAAGTGAGATGTGTTTGTCTGTGGGTTGGAGGCAACCCAGCACCCTTGCCTGTCCTCTGGGATCTCCAGTGGCTGACCATGGCTGAGTTTGCTTGACAGAGAGCAGAGGCGAACACTGCATTTCCTCCAGGGCACTAGGAGGCTGTGGCAGTGTTGCTGTGTCCTGTGGTCTGGGGGGGCAGTGAGTGCTGTCAGTTTGGGGATGTACCCTGCCCCCAGTGAAAGAGGCTGTCTAATGTCCCTTCTTCCCTCTCTTTTAGTGCTATCTTTGGGCTGGTGTATCGGCCCAGAGACTTTGCCTCCTACATACTGGGGATCTTTATCTGTAACCTGTTGCTGTATCTGGCTTTCTACATCATCATGAAGGTAAAGGGAGGCAGCTGCAGCTGTCCCTGGAATGCCTCTCTCCAAAGGAGAAGGGATGGGCCTCTTTTCTGGCTGCAGTTTGGGTTCCTGTGGTGCTACAGAGGAATGTGGAGGGGTCTTTGTGGGGCTTAGGGTGGGACAAGGTGTTAGTGTTGGGGGGGATGCTGTGTAGCCATCTTGGGGTTGGCTGGGCTGTGTGTCCCTGGGGTGGGAAGCCTTTTGCAGATGCAGATGGTCTAGGCTGGCCTGTCAGCCCTATGCTTGGCTCTGGCCCCTAGGAAGTAAACTAGAAAGCATATTGTGAGGGTATATTGCTGTCTGCAGCTCCGCAGCTCTGAGAAGCTCCTGCCCATCCCCCTGTTCTGCATTGTGGCCACTGCAGTGGTGTGGGCAGCTGCCCTCTACTTCTTCTTCCAGACCCTCAGCAGCTGGGAGGTAAAGTTCACCTTTCACTGTCCTGTCCATCTTTGTATGTCATCACCTATCCATCCTGTTTGTTTGTTTCACACAAAAAAATACTCTGGGGCTGCTCGTGGAGAGTTGAAAGAGTTTAACTCCTTCAATAGACTGGGAAGGGAGCATGGGAAGCTGTGCTGAACCAAAAGTGACTGTATGCATGTAGCTGCGGAGAGACTATTTATGACCCAGGTGATCCAGAGGTGACTGACCCTCACCAGGGGACAGAGGAGGGACTGAGGATCTGAAAGCAAAACTGGGAAAATCTTGACCAGTGCTGGGTGGAAGACTTCTCCCTGGAGCAGATGGCTGACAGGGAACAACCTGCTTGGGGTTGTTAGGGCTCTCCTTGGCCTGGGAGGCTCTTAAATACTGACTGGATGTCTTCTGACAAAATACCATACCCATCTCCATGGAAGTGAGGGGCTTGCTACAGGGTGGTCTGGTGGAGCCTGTGCAGCTTGTGCTCTGCAGGACCTCAGATTCGGAGACCAGGGGGTTCCCCCCAGCCGTGGGTTGTGGTCCCAGATCCATCTCCACATCCAAGTATGGCATTGTGTTCCTGCCCTGCTCTTGCCACATGTCCCGCCAGCACAGCACTTTTTCCTGGATCCTGCATGGAGGGTTAAGACAGGGCCATCTCCAGGGGTCCAACATGGCCAGCCATGGTCCTGTGTGAGTGGGTATCAGGTCCTGACCCACTGCCTGCTCTTCTAGGAGACTCCAGCAGAGTCCCGGGAAAAGAACCGGCCATGCATCCTGCTGGGCTTCTTCGATGACCATGATGTCTGGCACTTCCTCTCTGCGGCTGCCCTGTTCTTCTCCTTTCTGGTGAGTCCTGCTGAGCCTTCCACTCTGCTGTATGGCCTCACCCTCTCCTCTTCCTCCTTGTCCCTCTCTATCTGCATGGAGCTGCAGCTGCCCCAGGCCCCCATAGCAGTGCCCCAACTCCTCTGCTTGGCTCTGCCTCCAGACATCCTTCACAGCGGGATGCTCCATGTCAGTGGGATCAGGGATCAGGTTTTCTCCTATACCTTGTTGGTCCCTGTGCTTCCTGGCCTCAAATTCCTTCTGGGGCTGTGGATCACACAGCTGTTGTGGAAAGCTGAGGGGCTGCTGGTCTGACCAACCCTTTCATGGGTGTTTGAGTCACTGCCAGGAAGAGACCCCACTCCTTGTAACCCAGGCAGTAGGGTCACTACTGCATCACCCCTGGGCTTTCCCTCACTTCCATAGTTGACTCCTGTGCTCCTCTACTTGGTACCACCTTTCAGGCCTGGTGGTCTGTGGTGGCAAAGGTGGAGGCATCTCCTGTGATGGTGTTTTGGGGCAGAGGAGAGGGAGACCTTAACCCTAGCTGTGCAAGGCACAAACTGCTTGCAAAGAAGCTGCCTGACCACGAGCAATGTCTGAGCTGTGGGTCAAGCAGTTCCCACCCTTCTGCCTCCTGGACGGCTCTTCACAGGCTAGTGGTGAGGGACCATTTAAAAGCGGTGTCTCCATCATGGCTGGGGCAGGATTACCTGCTCAGGTCCTTGCAGCACTGTAGGCAGAGCTACCTGTTAGCTGTGTTGCCAGAGTGACCTGCTGAAAGTGTTACAGAAACAAAGTTCATCTGGCACATAGGTTGCTGTTGTGACTTCTGTACATGCTGGAGACGAGGCCCAGGTGGAGCCCTCCTGTGATGAGATGCCATCGGGAGCTGGTCATTCTCCCCGGCTGTGGACTCGCCAGCGAGACCTGAAGCTGCCTCATGCTTTCCTCCTCAGGTCCTGCTGACCCTGGATGATGATCTGGATGTGGTGCGCAGGGACAAGATCCCAGTGTTCTGAGCCCCCAGGGGATGGGGGCACAGTGGTGTCCCAAACTGCTCAGACAAAGGAATCATGCCACCAGCATCTGTGAGCCTCCTTCCATGGCTGACACCCCTGTGGGAGCAGGGGAGCTGGATCCCACAGCAAGCATGAAGGGGCACTGCGGTAACTGAGGTGGGGCTGGGAGGGAAGATGACATTTGCTCCTTTCCCACCACACCCTCTGGGGAAGGCATGACCTGTTGGCTGAGGCTGTTGCACAGCCCTCTGGCTTGTAGGTGCAGCAGGTGCTGAAGCCAGTGAAGAGGGAGGAAACACGAGGTGTGTTTGAGACCTTTGCTTCCCTTCCTCCTTGCTGATGCGCTCTGCTTCCTCTCTGGTGAGTGGGCTTGAGAAGTGCGATGCAGGTCCTTCTGCATCAGCAGCGAGTGCCTGTACCCTGTGGGCTGCTGTCCTTGGAGAGTCCCCTCGGCAGCACAGGGAGTGTTTGGCTTCTGAACCACAGCCACCAAGTGAGGAAAGGGTTCCAAGCTGAGGCGGCAGTGGGGAACTGTTTTCTTTTTGTTGGAGAAACAACAAAACAACTGCCAGCCACGGTAACAAGAGAAACAAGTCCAAGGGACTGCAGCATTGGAGGGAGATGGTGGACTAGAGCTGCCCACGAGTGCTCTGCCAGAGGCAGAACCTCCAGCCTTGCTCTTGCAGCCTCTCTCACTTACACATATTGAACAGCCTCACTTCTTTCTGGTGGCTCCTATGCAGGTGCTTGTCAGTGTGATGGTCTCCTTCACAGCACCAGAAGTGCTGTCCTCAAGCGACCTTAAGACAGACCCCAGCCGTGCATCGTGTGTAGCTCCTTGGCAGCTCCTTGGCTCCTGCTGCCTGGCTTTGCCAAAGGGACAGGGTGGAGTGGGGAGGCTATCCAGCAGCCTCAGACTTTCTCCTCCCATAAGCTTGCTTTGGGCGAACTTGACAAAGCAGGTTCCCTTATGGGCTGGGGGTGTGGAGGAGGTTCTAGGGCAGTAGAGGTCGAGCTCTTTAGCTAAAGATTGGACCAAACATCTTTCCTCTCCAACTTTTCTGCATCTGAAGTAAGTTTTTAAATGGCATCTGTATTCTTCTTGAATTCTCAGTTATTTAAAAAACAAGAATAAGGTGTGAATTATTTCAGGCCTTGCATCTAAAATGTGACCTGTTTTGTTAATTTTGAATTAAAAAAATATTCTTTGAGGCCTGCTGTTCTTATTCTTGTCACTGTCTGAGCATTTTTTCCTTTGGTGTATCTGCATGTATCCAGTGATGCAAAGGCTCCATTCTGCTTGTGCCTATCAAAGCAGAAGACTATGGTAATTTTCTACTCTGAGAAGTCTGTATCTCCCTGAAAGGTCTTGCACTAACTGGTTTTTATTTTTTCCTAAGTTGGAGTTTATCAAGATGGTCAATAAAATTAATGTTTGTGGCTCCGTGCTCTACAGGTTCATCTGAATTCTTGCTCCAGCTATCAGCAGCAGAAAAGAGAGCACTTGAGGCAGAGGGTACCCAGTGGTGTCACACAGCTGCTGTCATCCTTGGATCCTTAGGACCCTCACTGTTTCTTGAGCATTGGTACAGATGACCTGCTTGTTCTCTTAACTAGATTGCCTTTGTGGGGATAACTGGAGTAAAGAACAGACACTCTTCTTTGTCACAGTAGCCCCCTCGACAGAGTGAAGAGAAGGCTGGAGGAGGAATGACACAAAAGGCTGCCAGCAGCTATCTTCCCAAGGAGAGCTGCACTCCTGTGGAGATGCAGCCACATTTCAAGCAGGGCATGGCAGAACACGCAGAAGGTGGTGGTGGTCCCTGTGTGCTGTGTTTTATTAAAATACCTTGGGCTTGGCTTCCAGGTTTGACGTGCAAAATGTTGTGAATGTTCAATGATGCTAGAAATAGGGGTAGGTTTCTCAGGGTTGTTGTGAAGCATGAGCTTCTCTTCCTTAACAGTGTCAGGATGGGCTGCAGGGAAGGAGATGGCACTTGCTTTTCTCTGAGTAGCACCAGCAGAGGAGTATCAGGCTGAGGATAGTCCACATTTGCCATTCAGCCACCCTTCAGCCTTGCCATCTTGGTCTTTCTAAAATGGCAGAATCCAATATTAGCTACACAGGCTCACCTGCAGCTTCTTTTTTTATTCCCATGAGGAAAGACTGCCAGGAAATCCCCAAATCCTTACTGCCATGTGCAGCAAGACTGAGCTTGAGGGTCTCCTGGTGGGGTTGTGGTGCTCTGTCGTGCCCAGCAGGAGACTGAGCCACCTGGGTTTTTGTACCCAGAGGTGTATGAATGTTTGACGTGACAGCTGTTTTGTAACACATGCTCTGTGCTGCCCTGTCCCCCTCCCTGCAAATACATGAGCTGCTGTAGGAGCCCAAGTGCTGCACTTCCAGTTCTCTGATCAGTGAAACAAAAATTTATTGTAATAATATCTGGGGTGTGCAGGAGGTGGGGGTGTGCAGGATGTGCTCTTTGCAGAGCTCTACTTGGAAAGCAAGCAGTAACACACAGCAATAGCGCTGCTGCCAGCACGATCGATTCCCTCCCTTCTCTCTGCCCCTCTAGTCCTGGCTGTGGCAGCAGGATCAGAGGTCTGAGGCACAGCTGCATGGAGCCCTGCTGCAGGGTGCCACCTGGACGCTGCCTGAAGAGCTGCAACAGTCCATCTGTTGGGAGGTGATGTACTTGTGTGACGGTCACATCATTTGCTGCTGAGGTGAGCTAGGGAGCAAGTGGGGCAGTGCTTTGGGGCTGGAATTACGGGAGGTAGGTAGCAGGAGGAGAGGAGAAAATTTCCTGATAAGAGTCCTTGCCATGGGCCTTGCATGAAGAGTCTCTTGCTCTAGCAAGTGGCTGGAAAGTTCAGGTTGAGCCCCCTGAGCACCTTCAGGGTGGCTTACAAAGCTTTGTGTGGGGAGATGCTCCCAGGACAGCAGTGCTGCAGTGGGCAGGATAAATCCCTGGGTGCTGGGAGCATGTGGGGTTTGAATACAGCGTGCTAGCACCGGCAGGTTGAGCACCATCTCCCATGATGTGCTAAACCAAAAGAACCCTCCACTTGAGTCAAGTCTGGGACCTGGAGGGAGATGCATAGATCTTGTCTAAGGGGGGAGCTTGTCAGGTGAGAGGGTGGGCTGGGGTGATTAAAGGTGCCTGAAATGGAGATGCTGCCCTGCTGTTGTCTGAGGCTCAACAGTTAGAGCATCTGCCTCCTGTAGGAACTTCACCAGCTTTTAATCTTTTAGCTGCCTGGTTTCTCTGGTGCCTGTGCTGAAATCACACCATACAGCTGCAACTGCACCATGCAGAGCACTCCAGGGCTCACTGAATGTTTTTGTATGAAGTGGGCAAGTCTAGACAAAGACTCCAGTGCAGTTTTTTACTACAATTAGCAAATACTGCCTCCCTCAGTCCCCTTGAGCCAGAGAGATGGGGAGAAGCGGGACACTAGTTAAAAACTTGTTGATCTTGGGAGATCGTCAGAACTGGTGTCCAAGTGGGTATTTGTGGGGGGTTAGTGAGATTTGGAGGATTCAATGTTTGATCCTGCCATTTGTGAGTCTGACCTGAAGTCCTCTTTGCTCACTGTGCTTCCTTCACACCCCCTGCTTAGTCAGGTGACGAATGGACTCTTGCCTTGCAGAACTGCCCTTACACGGTGTTTAGGCATGGAGAAAGATGAGCAGCTTTTCCTCCTGTGTAAGTACATTCTGCTCTTAGTGAATTTTGTAGTGCACAGATGCCAAGGACATAGGACAAGGTGTTGTGGTAGTAGGAATATCGCTTCTTTGCCAGACTGAAGAAGGGCTGCTCCAAAGTCTGTCCAGTTTTGGACACACATTTTCATATAAGATATTTCTTCTCCCTGCGTCTCCCACAGTCTGTAGTCTCAGACCTTGTTCCAAGCATGTGCTTGTTTCTAACCAGGAAGCTGGTTATCCTCTATAAATTGAATTGTGAGAAAAAATGAATGTTGAACAGCAGTTGGAAGGCTTGATGTACGTGGTAGAAGAGCAACATATGGGCTCACTGAGCTATGCAGAGATGAGCACAGTATGTGAATGGCGAGGTGGCAGCATCATTGAGGGAGAGAGGGAGCGGAGATGGGTAGAGAACAGTGTAGAACAAGCAGAAAAATTTAAGAGAATTAAGTAAGAATAGTGTCCCTGCTGCTTCTGTGCCTCCAGCTTGATACATCAATTTAAAACATTTCCTCTTAGCTTTGCCCTGCCTGCTGGTTTCTGTTCATATTTCAGTTCTCCCACCCAGTGGGAGAACTGCAGCACCCAGCCTAATGCAGTCTGTTCATATTTCAGTTCTCCCACCCAGTGTCTGCAGCACCCAGCCTAATGCAGCGGCTGCAGGGGTGCCTCGATCACTCTGGCTGGCAGGGTGTCTGGCTGGGCACTTGGGCAGCTCTGTGTCTCCCAGTGAAGCTCAGCTATGCAACCCTCCTCTGCACCTGAAATAACAGCTTGTGCCTTTAGTCCCACTGCCCTCAGGAAGGAAGAACTGCTCTCTGGGTAGGTGGGGGACCTGCATTCCCTGATTTGCAGGTGTCACGTTGTTGTTGCTTCTGCTGTGCTCTTCCCCTCATACAGCTCCTGGGCACCTGAAGGTGTCTTTCCTCTCCCCCAGTTGTGTAGACATAAGCCACAAAGAGGAAGTGGATACAACCATGTAAGTCCGCTTTCTCTGGAAATGTTGTTGTCCTGCCCAGTATGACCCAAGGGAGATGGAAATCGCTTTTGTGTAATACTAATAAAACCCCCTCACCGCTTAGGAAAGCTGTTAGCATCATGTGAGATGATGGTGTTACAACTACCCCCACAACATCTGGGGTGGCAGAAGAGCAGCCAAGGCAGGGGGAGCATGCTGCACTCCAAGATTTGAAAGCACAATTTTAGGAGAAACGTTAAATTGTCCACAGCTTTTTGTGCATACTAAACCAGCAGCATCTACACAGAGAAAAAGGGTCTTTGGGAG